ATCAGATTATAATTTGAAAACATTATATTCTCACTTTTTGATGATCTAAAACATCAAAGCGTGAAAAATTTGCCAGAAATTTTTTTTGGAGGGGGGATTGTTTTACACAGCATAGTCATGCACAGTAAATCTCTTGAAGTTATTCAAAATGTGTTCCCTTGAGTCCCAGAAATCAGGCTGGCACTAAAAATAGATGCTGATAAAAAAAACAGGGTCCAGAACCAACAAAAAACGACTCTGACTATCAAATCAAAAAGGCAGGAAGTGCCCTATGACTGATGTTGACAAATGACAGAGCACTGCCATATGTCAACCAGCAGATGTCAAAGTTAAAATACAGCATTAAACCCCCCCCACCCCCACCCCCCCACCACCACCACCACCACCACCACTTTCTGATTATTTTGAACAAACTGCAACAATGGAAAAAGTACAGCAAGTTTTTCCTAGCGAGGGCAGCTCACTCCCCACAGGAAACGGTCTTTTTCAGACCTGTGTCAAGCAAGAACTGTTGATCCGGTGTGTGCATGATCCATGACAGCAGAATTACCTCCAGGCCTTTGAGTTTGTGGCTATGTGTGCCATAAACCCAACGTGAGAGCGTGTGCACATGCTCTTACACAACAAGTACTTCAGAGGCAGTGTGTATGCTGCACACTCAACGCTATGTGCAGCAACCTTGGCATCGGGGACACGCCCCTCAACCCCAGAATGCATTTTCCGTGTTTTACTAAGCACAGTTCACCCACGAAAAAAGAGACACTTGATTGGAGTGCGCTCTATCTCTCTCACTAAAAGCTTTATTTTCTGTACCTTTATATTTAGATTGTGTACCAGAAGCAGAAAAAAAAGGTACAAGCATTATTGACTGCTGCTTCAGGTCACACAATCAGTGAGCTGGGCCTTCCAATTGTAATTCCATGGGTGGCTTGCAGGGCTTCTCTCTCATTAAAGCTCCACTGTGTGTGTAGAAGAGGATGGTATGCACAAAAAACAGGCAAACACAACATCCCACTCACACACCATTCATAAGACTTTTTGTGTATGTGTGAGACAGGTTAATGTACACTCTAAAAACTGTTGAGTTAAAAGAAACAACCTGATCTGAGTTGTTTTGGGGTATTTTTGCTCGCCTGTTTGGTTGATTTAATACATTAAAATTTATGTATGATAGAAAATAAAATATCCTCCTAGAGTTTTTTCAAAAAACCTAAATGGTTCCTATATATGAAATGTCGGTGCCTATGATATCTTGAATGCATGTTTTTTAGCCCTTGACCTGTGATTTTAGAATACTCCTGCAGTCTTAAGTCTTAACCTAAAGTGTTATCATCTGAGGGCAGGGTACTGTTGGAAGCTGGAGAAGTACCTCTCTTCTCCAGCAGAGTCCGCCGTGGATCCTCCTGAGCAGAGCCCTCTGCACAGCTGCTGCTCGTTACCATCATCAGGAGGACCCACTACTTAAGCTGTCTTCAGACCTTGCCTCAACGCCGCAGTGTTGAGCCAGTTGGTTAGAACCTAAACCTAGAACCTCTGAGAACTTAGTTTGCTCTGAATCCTGACAGGATCCTAATCTTGTCTCTGTCTTTCCAGGAAAACCTGATCTTCCCTTGCGAAGCTCTGGAAGAGCTTAACCTGCCGAGCCTGCCCTCTGAGCCAAACCTGAAGATTACCTCTGGATTCACATGCAGCTCTGGACCAAGAGCTGGAAACCCAAAGTCAAGGTCTGCTACCTTCCTAGAAGCAAGACGCTGAAGCAGCTAACGGACTCTGCTAACCAGACTCTCTCCAGTTCCAACAACCTTCCTCTCCAAGTGCTATTCAAGGACCCTCAAGGTACAAACCAGAAACTATCTAAGGACAGTCCTCTAAGAACCCAACTAACTAAACTGTCTTCCTCACAGACTCCGGTGAACCCGTTTTTCCCAGGACCAGAACCTGAACACATTACCTCTGAAATTGTATTCAATAAACTCTGTGAACTTTTCAACTGTTTCCTGCCTCGTGGTGTTCTGCATAATTGGGTCACATTCGTGTACCGATCATGACAGGTAGGAGTTTCACCTTGAAAATTAAAAAACAAAAATAATTTGGCATCTTACCAATGCTTACCCTTTGCTTTCTTAAATTCATGCAAATAAGGGATGAGAAATATCACTGCAATTAAGAATGATTGATGCATGTTTATTTATTGACTACAGAACCCGGAGAGAACAGGAACAGTTTCACTAAGAAATCATTTCCCGGATTTACATCTGCTTTGTAGGTTTTTTGTATCTATTTTCATTTCATCTTTGTTTTGTTGTGTGTTATCAGGGAACAGTTAAATTACAGTAAATTGAATTGATTAGAAAAGCCTTTGCTGTGGTTGACCTTCCTGCTCCAAGGCAAAAGCAAGCCTTTGTCCAATCACTGTCCAACCTCAAAGTTATTTTTTTACTTAATTTTTTGTATTCCATTTTCCAGAAATAAAAGAAGTATCTCCCAGGTTTTCAAAAATCTACATGCACATATAACTGTGGAATGTTACAGTTAGATAAATCTTCCATAAGAAACTAGTTGGTTGCTAATGAATGAAAACACATACGTTCCTTTCAATTGTCTTTATGGAAATCTGAGATGTCATCCTCAATGCTGAAGTCAAATTAAGTGTTTATATGGTCCAAAATGCAGGTTGGTTGAACAACATTAGAGATCTTTCTTTAACAACTTAGGTCTTGGTTTAAACCACTGATTTTCTTACACAGTGTTTATAGCATGAACCCCTTTAGATTAAATATATAAGCCACAGTTTTTAGAGTGTATGTTGGAGTATTGTTCATTTTGCATGGGAGTTTGTGATGGCAACAAGGGCCACCTATTTGCTTTAAAAAAATAAAAAAAAAAACACTCTACTCCTGTTCAGTTTTATGGCCCAGGAAAGCATCCAATGTGACGTAGGTTTCACTTGATAATTGAACAATCAGACACTTGATCTAAAGTGGCCAGCCAATCACACCAGGGGTGTCACGGATGTTTCTCTCATTAGAGGCAGTGCTGGCAGATTCTTAATGCAGACAAATTTTAACAGAAGTCAAGTGATGATGCAGAAGAGGAGCTGATAGCTCTGCCCTGAACCATCAGCAGAGGTGCAAGGTAACATGGTGCATTTGTAGGAAGGGGAGAGGAAGCTGCCATAGGGAGAGGGGAGGGTTATCATTTACATATCATCTTGCTGAAATAACCCCATTCTTTGCTAAATGATGTTTCATAGCTCAGATCTAAAACTTCATAATGTTCTGCACTGAATTCCTAATCCAGAAGGGCCTCTTAGAATTTACTGCATCATTGCTGTAGCTCTATGCGAGGCTCTGTTCCTCAGCTTGAACACTTTAATACCAGGTGAACTTCTGATCTAGTCATAACTTCACCTAATTAAGGACATCTGATTATGTTCTTACAGGAAACCATCAAACAGTTTTGATCCAGACAACCATTCCACAGTCCTTTATCTTGTGCACCGTCATCAAAAGGAGTGATAATAAAACAAATAAAACTTATGGAAAGACCACATTAAAAGTCGTTTGGACCATGCTGTCAGTTGTAGCACTAAAGGTAATACTTGAGGGGTAGCCAATCTTACACACTGCTTTGACCTCCACCCACACATTTTCATATGCACTTATTTGCCGAACCCAGTTCAATATTATCTCTTTGCATCCTTTAACCCATGGAGTTAAAATTCTGGTCAGTGCCTGTCATTTGCTAATCCGTTCACTTGGAATAAACTAATTTGCAGTGCCCAGTTACCACTGTATGAAAATATAGCTTTTCCTCACAATCAGGTCATGAATATAAACTTGAATATGAAACTAAAAACATATACCCTCTAATAAGAAGATAAGCCACAAGTTATCATTGGCAAAGACCATAGTGCTCTATCCAAAGGAAACTTGATTGATGGAAAAAAAAATGTAGCAGAAAAAAAAACAATAAGTGCTCTAAGACGTTGACAGCTGTGAAGCGTTTTGAGTAGGGAAGAAACAATGGTTCAACTTTAGAAGATAATGTGGCTTGCTACCGTATTCTCACAATCAGGACTCCAGATTTGCTAAAATATCCTTGAACCAACTTGAATAGTGAGCATCTCTTCAACCAGACTTTGACTTCAATTTTCAAATGAAATGCAAAGTTAAGAAAGATTATTTTGAAATTTGCATTTCATTTGAAAATTGCAGTCTAAGTCTGGTTGAAGAGAGATGCTCACTATTGCATTTAGAAAGAGTGTTTTGAAAAAATGAGCAAGAGTTTAACCATTTTTCTCTTAAACCCAAGACAATCTATAGCATTCAGGAAACATCATGGCTCATGAATTACATTAAGACCAGCCACAGCTGATCCCTTTTAAATATCTCCGAAACTTTTAAATGGCCTCACCTTGATAGCCTCCTTTTTGGCTTTCGCACATTTTTTGATCCAATCTTTAATTCTTCCATTTAACTTTCTGTTAATATTTTCCCTTTATCTGTTTTAGTTTGTACGCCTTTGTCCTAATTGTTATATAAAAACTTTGTTTTTTTTATTTCATTAATATGAAAGACTTATCTGACACAAAATAGTTTTATTATGGAAAAAGAGAGTAAAAAAACAACAGACATCAGGGTTTAAAGAATATCTCTATGGATATAATAAATCTATATGAAATTTTCAATGATGCCGCTTTACTATATAAGGGTCTGCTGAATTTATATTGGTGTGGTGTTTAAAGTTTTCTCTTTTATTAAAAGTGATTAAGAGTTTGAATAAAAACTTTTGAAATCAACCTAACAGTTGAGCGCTCAGCTGGCTGCACAGCATCCCGGAGAAACAAACCGTTTCTCATCTTTCTGCGTTGGCTGAGCCGCTTGGGTTTAGGTTTTAAGCTTTAAGAGTGAGGGGGGGTTTGCAGGGATGAAGAGAGCAAGGATCCCATGACGCTCCATAATGACATCACTGGGTCTGAAAGAGGCGCAAAAGGCGGATGGGAGGCACCCCCCACTTATTAGATTTCGTCGGAAGGTCCTGCTTGCATGAGATGCTGCTGCGCCTCGGTGAGGAAGTCGGATGATGTGCGCAAGAGGAGCGACTGATCCAAGGCTTCTTCTCCAACTTCTGTCGCTGCAAGGACCCAAAAAAGCAACTCATGAGAGCCACACACCCGATCTGTTAAAGCGAGGATCGTTTCATTATGTGAAGGAAGGTTTTAGGAACACATCTGGCTCCGTGCGCCAGGTTGGAGAGCCGGAAATTTACTTTGCCTTTTTTTTTTCTCTCATTTTTGCTTGACCGACTGGAAACACTGGGATTGAATCCATCCATTGAAATTAAGAACAAGTAATTTTCTATTTTTATATCTTCCTTAAAAATCACTTGTTTCCTTCCTTTTTCTTTTTCTTAGATAAGTGTCTCCAAACTAGGACGCGCATTCAGTGCCCAGTGTCCAAATTTAATCTGATCCAATTTCTTTGAATGCATCGTTTTTTAAATTAAATTTACTTGCAAAACAAATTAATTATCAAAAACAAACTGGGCTTAAAAGGAAGTGTCAGACGGTTTTTTTCTGTTGTTTTATTACTCTGGAAGAGCTCCCGCACCACAACCGAAAAACATCTTTCGCTCTTTTGTTTGGCATTGGTTCCTAGAACTGATAAAAATCAACTGCCTGCCCCCAACGCATTAACTTGGACTGTTTTTTTAAAGCTTAGATGAACTTTGAGGAGATGTTAGAGAGGATGCAAAGGATCAGATAAGGCACGGATAAAGAACAAGAGGAAAAGAGGTAAATGTGACTTTTTAATTAATCATAAATGGATGGCTGATGTAATTAAAATAAATGCGCATTAGAATAATATAGAATTTTACCCATTCTTTAAGGAGATTTTTAGTAATTAGTTATGGTATTTATTTTTCAATGCATATCTTTTTCTGATTTAGAGAAATAACCCAGACATGGCTTCAGCAGTGGAAGGTGGTTGCTCCATGCTGCTCACCGGCTGGAACAGCAGTGCCAGTAGCTCTGGGGGCTCCACGCCCTGCAACCAGAGCGTCCGATCCCTAGCCCCTTACTCCCCTGAAGCCACGGCGGCCTTTGCCACCGCCATAACCCTGATGGTCGTCTTTACCATCTTCGGAAACATCATGGTCATCATCGCCGTGCTAACCAGCAGGTCTCTACGAGGTCCGCAGAACCTGTTCCTGGTGTCCCTGGCAGCTGCGGACATCTTAGTGGCAACACTCATCATCCCCTTTTCATTGGCTAACGAGCTGCTCGGCTACTGGTACTTTAAATCTCTGTGGTGTGAGATCTACCTGGCGCTTGACGTTCTCTTTTGCACCTCCTCCATTGTGCACCTGTGCGCCATCTCATTGGACCGCTACTTGTCCATCTCCCGGGTTACTTATGGGCGCCAGCGGACTCCCCGACGCATCAAAGCCGCCATTGTGGTGGTGTGGCTAATCTCTTCTATTATTTCCTTCCCACCTCTCCTTTCACTTAACAAGAGTGAGGTTAGTGATGCAGCAAGTGAGAGAGGACCTCAGTGCCAGCTGAATGATGAGCGCTGGTACATCTTGTACTCAACCATTGGCTCCTTCTTCGCCCCCTGCCTCATTATGATCCTGGTATATGTGAGAATCTACCAGATAGCTAAACAGAGAACACGCTGCCCACCTGGGGAACCCAGGAAGGATGGGGCTGCCTGTGCCACCCCAAGTCAGCCCCCAAGACACATACAAGCCAACGGGAAGGATGAAGAAGAGAGCACTCCCCCTTCAGCCAGCAAAACCTCAAATGCCAGACCCCCCACTCTGGCTATCACCCCTTCCCCATCCCCAGGAGATTCCCAAAGTTCCCAGAATCCAACCCCTAACAACCTCCTGCAGCCCCCTTCCCAGTCTCCAGCTGTGTCTCCCGTCACAACTCCGCCTGACACTGCCCTTAATGCCCCTTCGAACCCCTCATCTAACCCTGCTCCCAAGTCTGCAGCCAAGACCAAGAAGGAGGAGAAAAAGAACAAACGGCTGAGAGGGAAAAGGGCTGACAATAACAATGGCGACAGCTCAAGCACAGAGAGCGATGCAGAGCACAGCCAGGGAGGGGGCAGAGGCAGCACCAGCATGCCAGGGTCACCTGCTGGAGGAGGCATTCACTCCCCAGCCTCAGTCAAGCGTTACCGTGACATGATTGCCACTTCGAAGGGGGCTCGTCTGGTGCCAGGAAGGAAGTCGAAAACAGAGAGCAATCCAGGAGCTGCAAGGCGTAAAGCGATGGTCAACAGAGAAAAGCGTTTCACCTTTGTCCTGGCTGTGGTCATTGGTGTCTTTGTCGTCTGCTGGTTCCCTTTCTTCTTCTCCTACTCTCTACAGGCAGTGTGCCCTGAGACCTGCGTCATTCCAGACCCACTCTTTAAGTTCTTCTTCTGGATTGGTTACTGCAACTCTTCCCTGAATCCAGTCATATACACAATCTTCAACAAAGACTTCAGAAAGGCTTTTAAAAAGATTCTCTGCTCATCCACCAAGGGTACTTTCTTTTAGCAAATGAAAGTAGGCACTAAAAGCTTATTTTCAGAACAATAACTTCAACTTTTCTGAACACTCAAAGGGCTGATTTAAACATGTGATAAAACAAGTAGGTTCTGGTATGACATTTAGAAATGAAAGAGAATTTTACAGCCACAGTGAGAAAATAGACAAGTTACACTGTGTTCAATCAGTGGTTTTAAGCTGAAAGTCACAGATTTTTGTAGGGAGCGTGTTGAAAACGGGACATGAAAGAGGGGCAGACTGCGTTAAACTGCTTGGCGCTTCAGCGCTACTGATAAGATTCCAAATGCAGAGTTTTATCTCCAGATCATATTGACTCATGGACACTGCCCTGCAGAAATATATACCAAGATCTACATCTTGCAGAAAAAGTATTGAACTAAGTTTTCATTGTGAATAAAGACTTTTATAATATGTATATTCAATGTTTTATAAGTACTGGCTATAGAAAGGCAAGTGACCTTAGATTCCTGTGCGCCCCAGGGGCCTTTTATTTATCAGCACAGAGCACAAGGAGGACACAAGGTTAGCGGTGATTTCTTACGTCTGCAGTCTTAATTTGTCCCGCTGCGGGGCAAACATGTGTTCCTTGATTTTAAAGAACAACAACAAGAGAAGGTTTCAAACGATCTCAGATGTGATAGCACAAACAAGGACACTCTTTGAAACTCAACTCGTGGATGTTTTATGTGGAAAGCCACCTTTGCTCTTGGCTTTTTGCAGTCCCAAAACGTCTCCTACCTTTTTTTTTCTGTACCACAGAATTTAACTGAGATGTTGGTCATTTTGAAATCATGCGTAGGTCAGTGCAATGTTGACCTGCTGCTTCCTGTGTTTAACTGGACTGTTACTTTTGATGGACGGGGGTCATGAGAATCTCTTGCAAGAAGTTGGACATTTACGTAACAATCAAAACTGCTTTGATCCGGCGTTAGAGCTCATCAGCATGAGGTCCATATGAAGAAGACTGAAACAAATAGAACATTATTTAAATTACAAACATTACTTTCTGAAAAAAACTGCTAGTATTTATCAGGTAGACACTTAAAGTGACTGTAAAAGGTGGAAAAACAATCCAATTATATTGTGAGTGATGGTCCGCTTAATTACACCTACAGGGGTTGCGGTGAACAACGTGTCTGAGAGGCTCTTCAGCAGCACCTGGGACACAGTGTCACCTACAGCTACACCTTGTTGGGTTGCTGCAGGGAGGCAAGGCAGGATGGATGGATGCTAGAGGTATTGACAGTGATGAAAACAAGAGAGGAAGATGTGTCTAGCTGTGAACGCCACAACAGGCTTATTATTAACTCTATGGGATAAGGGCTGTCAGCAGTGACACACCAATTTCCTATTCCTGCTGACCTGTATGAATGTGTATGTGTGTTTATCTGCATGTGAGATGACTATTTGTAGTTGTTTTTTTTTCCTGTGTAGAAAGAGTCAGTGCCTCCTTTGGCTGCTATGCTACAGATCTACTGTAATATTGATCAGAGCAGAGACTAGGTTTGCAGGTACAGGCAGCACATTATGGTCAGCGGAGAGATCTGTATATTGAGAATGTCTTACCAATCTGAAAGCCAGTGTTTCTCCAAATGTGATCCATGTGCATGGCTTTGTAGTTTGCACCCTGCAGGGACCAAAGAGCCTTACAGAACACCAGCCTGACTCAGTGATATTTGGCTCTGTGACATAATTATCAAGTAATTATCTTCTTTTTTGGTGTAAAAGACGGTATGCACAGATTAAAACTTTGCTTTGCATTTTCTGCCTTCATCTATTTATTTGTAATTATTACCATGCTTTAATGCAGAGAATGAAGCAAACTGATCAAAGCGTGAGAACAATGTACAGATTTCCCATACGTCGATGAGATTGAAAGCCTCTTTTTACCATCAGTGTTGCTGCTTTGTAAGAGTGCAGTTTAATTTAAACTCAAAATAACAAGAATTCTAAGTATTTTGTGCAAAATCCAAAATAATAATAAAAAAATAAAGCCATTGTTTCATCTAGTTGTAGTTACATGAAATCTTTCCTCAGAGTTATAAGCACATTCAGCAGGGTGCCATTTTTATCAGGCATAATGTTCTGCAGGAGGAAAACTTCTGTCTGATTTAATGAAATACATGCTTTGTCTACTTGTTTAAAAGTCCCCTGGACTTATTTAAACAAGGCAGCTTTTCTATAAAAGCAGTTCTTTGAAATGAGAAAAAAAATGCCAATGCAGTTATGTATGTGTTTGTTTTTTAAAAGGTTTAGTTGCAAAGATCTTCAAAACACACCAAAAATATCCTCCTGTGACGTGTGCTAATTTGCTTATTTAAAATAAGTCAACATTTATGGCTTAAAGGTCATAAATGCAGTTAATTGACGGATTTTTGAAGCTGCTCATTTTCTTTCTCCCTTAACTGTGTTCGGCCCAAACTGCTCGGGTCTAAGCTGTACAATCTACTATCTCCCATCTGTCTTGGCCTTTCCCCCTTCAGAAATAAAGCAACTTTAAAAAGCATGAGTCACTTCCGGACCATTTTTTTTTTCATACATTTTTATGTGATAAAGCATCATAGAAAAGAAGGAGGGGTGACATATTTATTTCCAGGAGGACGTTTTAGAATACACTCACAAATACAAGGTGTTTTTTTTTTTTTTTTTTTGCTGCACGTGCGTCATAGCTTTATGCAATTTAAAGCAATTTCCAGCTGTCCTGAAAAAAAAAATAAAAACCCTAAATTGCAACACAAATTCAGGAAATAGTCCATAACATCGTTGGCTGATAGCTGTTCAACATGTCACTGGGAAATCTCCTTTCACAGTGGGACATGAAAAGGAGGCTGTCTGCTGCCAATAGACACAGAGGAAGTCTAGGAGGGATCAGGCTGTGTATGAACAAACACACACAGATGTGTAATATGTCATTCTGCACCAGCTGTATTCCAGTCATGAGGTGTGCAGCAAAGCAGCCCCCCAACACACTCCCTTGTTGTGACAGCTTGTTAGATTTGAGGTCAGGAGGTCTTCAGTGAATTATGATTGATTTATGCTGACGGGCAGTTTTGAGATTTCACAGAGCTGAGTTCAGGCTCCCCTGCGCTGGTTTTCCGTCTCCCATACACACACACATCACTCACGGACACACACGTTAGTCAAAGAGGATGCACCTTCAAAATCTGTCCTCCTTTATCTCCCTGTAGTTTCATTTCCATATTCATAGCAGAGCTTTGATTTAAGCTGCACTCGGAGGTGAACAAATAACTTATCAAGGCCAGGTATTGAGAGCAGTGAGGTTCATCTTTACTATGTTGTATATTCATAGAGATGCAGCATCCCAAAGCCCCTGATTTGCTGACCTGTGACTGAATACAAAGCAGGGCTGGTCTGAGCAGTCGGCCCACAGCGGTAAGGAATGAGACGCCAGATTCAGTAGTGAAGATGCACAGATATAGTGCCTCTAAGAAGAATGTACATAAGCAAAATAAAGTAGAAATAAAAAGGACCATGATGAATGATTTCAATCCCTCTATTCTTTCAAAACTCAACTGAAAAGCAAACAAAACTGTTAAAAGTGAATCATAAATGAATAAAAAGCTGCTCTAAACTAGCTGAAAAGCACACACAAAATTAAACTAACACTGTTGAAATATCTTTTATATTCAATTTAGGAGTCTTTTTTGCATGAGTCACATCTTGACTCCATATGTCATTAAATATGGCTAAATTGTCAAATTAAGAAAAAAGCCGATCTCTTCACGTGACCCCACATAACCATATTTGCTCTCAGATTGCGTCCCTGGACTCTGACTCTGCTTTTCTAATTTTGATTTCATGGAGTTATTCTCATTTTGATTTAAGTCATGCGCTTTGACTGTTGTGATGTTGAATATAAAATATTTATGTTCAGCTTTCTTAAAGACAGCCGGAGATTTTGGTTTAAAAACTGGCCAGCATTTGCAACAATATGGTGAGGATGATGATGATGATGATACAATTTTTATTTCAGACATCTCAAGAACAAAACATAATAACAAAAAATACTTGTTTTAATTTTTCTAAATCTACATACAATACCTTACAATCAAATTTACATACTCAAATACAGTTTAATGCACAACTTATTCTGTGACTGTGAGACTGAAAAGGAGTATGATGAAGTTTAACTTTCCATTAATTCATTCATAGAATAAATAGTCTTCTTGTTTACAGTATCCTTTCCAAAAGGAGGGAAAAAAACAAAAAAACAATGCATTTTTTTATCCACTGCATAAAAAACTCTGGTTGCATCTGAAGAAAACTGACCACAGATCATGCTATAACCCCAGTCTTTCACTTTAGGTATGCTGTTCTTTTGCTGTCGTATTGGATTGTTCTTGTGTCAAACCTTAATTTAGAAATCATGGCGCATAGTTCAACTTTGGTCTCTGCAGATCATAGAAAGTTTCTGTCTTGTTTTTTGGAAGACATTTTTTGAATTTGAAAATGTTACAGTTTTTCCTCAATCTTCTCATGTTGTTGATAACTGTCCCAGCAGTGACCCAGGTAGAGATATAAAACTTTGTTGCTGCTAACTTCGTGGATCTCTTTGTAAGGCAAATCAAGAAAAGCATATTTTCAACAGTCATACAAAAGCCGATCCAAAGCGTGATAGGTGACAAATGTTTGTACAAACTTAGAAGACAAACTTGAACTGAAGTTTTTAATAAAAAAAAAAAAAATTCCAAACTTTATGTCAAATCTCCTAATTCATAAAGTTCATCAGTCATATTTTCTGCTTAAACTGTTGCTAATAATATTTTATTCAGTCCTGGTTTAAATAAACAGACAGTTTATACAAATCTCAGGTTTTAATTGTGTTTTTTTTTCCAGAGCAAAGGAGTAAACAACTTAAATGCTGCATCACCTTGTTCATTTCTGGTCCAGGGAAAACTGAGTAATCTGATCTCTGAACACCTGAGACATTCAATGGTTCATACTTGACAAGGAGCTCAAACACCTGTTTCAACCAAAGAACATTTGGTTCTTTATAGACAAATGCCAGAGTTTATTTGCACAACGGGATATTTTAGATCCTTTGTTATGTCTTTTCTCTACAAGTTATCTCATTGGATGCGACTGCCAGGAGGATTATATTGGGGCAGATTCAAGTTTCTTCAGGTCCATCATAAATTATCTCAAACGTGTACCTAAAATACTAAATGCCAAAATGGAATTAAATCAATCAATGCTCAATCATCAATGCTACCATTGCTTACATCACAAAAAAATTTGTATGTTAACAGTGTTTGTGCACACATCATCGACATAGATGTGTGCAAAATGCATTTGACTACTTTTCTGGTGAGTGCAGAATTTGTTGGTATTAATATGCATGTCTTTAAGTGCACACTCCACAAAATAACAGACCCCTTTTCCAATCTCAGCATCATTGAGTGGCCAAACAAATCTTTTTCTGTGTAATTTGGCTACTAAAAACACCCATGAGGCTGAAGGAGAAACTTAGTGTGGAGGAAGCTACCAGAGGTGGAGACATTAAAATACACTTTGGCTTGTGAAGTCTCAGATAAAAAAGGTCATTTTTAAGGTGTCACAGGCAATTATGATAAGAGGCTGTAGTGTTACAGATTGGTGCTCTGAGTGTGTGTAATCACTGCTTCCATTATTCACTGCAACAATCCCAAGTACAAATACTGACCAAGCCAGTAAGACGGACCAGTTGAGCAAAACCGGGCAATAGCTGACATTTAGATGAAGGGGTACTTTAAACATGCTCCCACAAAGCACGCTTCTCTTTTGAAAGATCAAAAATAGGAGTTATTTTAAGATTGTTTTTCATTGCACATGTGTAGTTAAAGTAACGAGTTGAGAGTCTAATTGGGCATGCATTTCCTTGTTGTTCATTTCACCGTCCCCCGGCTGTTACCGTGGAGACATCTGTTATTTTTGAAAGAAGGAAAATGTTCAATTAAGCTGCGTTAAGAACGGTGCCACAAGTTGTTCCTTGGAGTAATTGAACCAAGAACACCTGCAATTAAAAAATAAACAAGTAAATTAAGAAAACATCACCATCAATTTGACGTTATTGCTCCAATAATTAGCTAAAAGATTATGCAAATATAGGAAACACATCCTGATACTGAAGCTCTGTAAATACCAAGGGAGCTTTCATGGAACAGAAAAAAAAAATCCCTGAATAATTAGTTTTTAATATTAATGGTGTGATCCCGGAAAATTGAATATTCTTTATACATGCAGGAAGTGGACCAGCTTGTTCACTAGTGCCGTCAGAACCACCTGGAGCAAACCCAGCTCAAGACTGTGAAGATCACATTGACTTTTAGAGGAAACCGCTTACACTACTTCTCAGGTGGATCACTTATGGTTTTAAAGAACAACACTTTTTTGGGGGTACCTGAGCTGGTCCTCACATAGACAGTGCTCAGAGAATACGTTTCCTGTCACAACTCGAGAGGAAAAACTTTCAACAGGGGCTGCTGTCTGTTTAACTTCTACAGTACACTACTATTATTCAATCTGTATAACACATACATAAAATGTGCTTGAAAGTTTACATACCCATACATTATAAAACGAGTCCAGATTTCTGCATATGTTGACAGGTTTGTCAATAGGTGAAGACAGGTTACTAGTGTTAATGCATCTTTTTGTTTCATGGGAGGGTATGTAAACTTTCAAGCACAACTGTTTCTCTTCAGTGTTTGACCCGTGTGTAAACCAGTCCATATTACAGTGATTAATGAGTCCTGCAGGGGGGATTATTGAGGCTGATCTTCCCTCCAGTGAAGATCTATGTATGTGGAGGTCTAGTGTCAGGCAATGGTCAACATCTCTGCAGACTACATACTGTATCCTTGATACAAACTGTTCAGATGTTTAACCTCAGGACAGTGCTGTAGGGCAGTGATTCACAACCTGGGGTACGCATACCCCTAGTGCTCCACGAATGCATTGCAAGTAGTACAGGAAAATATTTTATTTCTTAGGTAGTAAAATAAAATAGGGTGGGGATCTGTTTTGGTTAGTGAGGACCCAATTGAAAATTAACAAGCTTTCTTTAAACAAAAAGTAAGTTTTTCTTATGTGTTTCAGTTCACTTTCTGCTTTGACACACATCCAAACCAAGCAGAGGAACAGACTGGATGTATACAGCCTGGTATCAGCTGTTTTTCACACTGAGCTATCAGAGCTCATCAAAGCAGCTCAGGTGTCTTGAATGTTGACATCAAAGTAAAATAAACTGAGACAGTCTGACTATATAATTTTGTTTAGTATTTTGTTCCCAATTCATCAAGGAGATCCAGTTTTATAAAGGCAGATTTAAAGTATGATTTTTATTTTGTATATTTTGATTCCTTACTAGCTTCCGGGCAACATATCTATGTTGTTTTTTATTTAAGATGAAAAAAAAAATGCCTAAGAATGAAAAAAGGTTGGGAAACACTGCTGTAGGGTACCATTTACGATGACCAGTGGCCACTAAGAAAATTTCTTTCCC